TTAAGCTTGGTTGTTATTGGGAACATGCTTGTTCTTAAGTTATAGCTGTATTGTTGGGGACACGCTTGTCCCAGAGCTATCTGGTTGTTATTGTTCTAAAAGCTGTAGTTGTATTGGGAACATGCTTGTTTTTAAGTTGTCTAGTCGCATTGGGAATATGCGTATTATGTATATTCTTACGGACAGGTTTGGTGTATGGGTTGGTTTAAGGGTTAGTTAAGGGGTCAGCAGTGTACAGTGGTCAGTTTGATTACTATAAGGGAACACGATTCAATATGTTTATATTTCATTGTTTTGATAAATTATGAATTAAGTATTTTCTTGAACATTTTTTTTTATTTTAAGTTTATAAACATTTACAAATGATGAATAGTCTCAACTTTAGATTGGGTACTGCAAAAACATGAACAAATGATTAATAAATGATTTGTAAAGATGAAAATAGGGTAAATTCCGGTCATTTTGGACACTTTTTGCCATCAAAATGACTGCTCATGAAGGTACTAATGATTAGTATATGTTTATAAACATTTACAATTGATGAATAGTTTCCACTTTAGATTGGGTAGTGCAAAAACAAATAATTAATAAATGTTTTAAGATGTGCAAATAATAGAAGTCTACACAACAAACAAAGACCAAATATATGACCTTTACAGACTGTGATTATGAGTTGATGAATATATTAACAGGAATAGTTTGTGAAGTGCTTAAAATTAATAACTAAGCTATATTTTCACAACATTTGTAAATGTAAAAATTAGCATTAGCTGATATGTTAACTGAAGTGTAATGACACTTGTAAGCATTCAACAGTACATTAACAAATAAACTTGTAATCATTGTGTAATTTAATTTGTAGATTTTTTAAATGCATTGAATGTTTAACGACATTTGTAAACATTAGCTAATGATCAGTTAAGCATTATATAATATTTGTTAATGATTTATTTAATGAAGCTTTTAATCATTGTAAACCATCTGTCAAAATAATTTGAAGATTTAAAAAAAAATCATGATCATATAAATTGAAAGTTTAATGACATTTGTAAGCATTAAAATTTACATTAAATAATGATCTGTTAATAATTTGGTAATGTTTATTAGTTAACATTAACAAGCACATTATCTCATATTTCTAGATATGTGAATATATATTAAGTAATGATTAGTTAAACATTATATAATGTGTTTTAATGATTTATAAATGAAAGTTATTATAAAGTGTTACCAACGTATGTATGTATATATATATTTTTTTTTATCATACCAACATTTCATCCCCCCAAAGTTCAAATCTACGCCCTTACCCTGCCCTGAATAAGTGTAAATTATAGATATACGTACCATCAGCGATCATCAGTAATACTGAAATCAATGCAGATTTACAGAAATAATGCTGCATCTTCCAATAGCCTATGCGAAATTAAACAAAACGATAATGTCTACTAGCTGCAAATTATCGCAGATATTACTGCTGACGGACGCTTCTGTTAGCGCAATGCGGCAGACTAAACACTTCATTTCACTTTCATTTTTACTTTCACTTCTAAATTCGGGTCGAGTCAGATGATTAACGGAACGTAGGCGCATAAGCAGTACAAACACTTCAGCACAATAACTTAACTGTTTAATCATTCTGAAGTTGATCATCCGAGAGAAAATAACCAAAACCTTGCAGGAATGTCGCAATAAATAGTAATCAACAAACTACTATTCCCATAATGCTTTACTGGGATAGTAAGTAACGTTCAGAGTTATGAGAGAACTAGCAACAATATATATTTTTTTTATTTCAAGTTCGGTATTAATAGAGAATAGCAGGACCAATAGCCCTGACCAATTTGGTGCCCTATAAGGCAATATTTTAGCTGGTGCCCCTTGCATCGCAGCCAATTGTGGAATTTCACACAGCTCACCGATCATTCACACATAAACTGCATAGCTTTATGACATAAAACAAAGTACATATGAAATAAATAAGACCAGACATTCACTAACATTTAAATCTTAATTTCTTCATTTCAGACATTCATAAATTTAAAGATGCACTGATCTTAACTTTTCATGGCAGAAACCAATACTGATTATTAAAGGGGTCATATGATGCTTTTTTAAAGATAATTATTTTGTGTATTTGGTGTAACAGAATCAAAATAAATGTAAAGACAGAGCCCGAAAGGGGAACAGAGTGGCATGACAGACACAGTGATGAAGCTGGTGACCCTGTCTCTCTCTCTCTTTGGCCAGCATTATGAAAATATTTCCACATAGTGAGGTAGATATGTGGGGGCGTGTTAGAACGAGCCGTTTTAGGGGGAAAACTTGAAATTGCATCATATGACCCCTTTAATGTATTTTATTTAAGCAAAAGACAAGAAAGAATGAAAATATGAGTATAGGAAGAATATGGTTAGTTGCTTTATTAGCCTATATTTTTTTATCTAAACTAGCCCTCTGATGCATGGATTATGAAAGCCTGAGTCAAGATTTTTTTTGTGTTTGTATTCTTCTTAGGGCATGAAAAAAACAATACATTTTTTTTTAAATATGATTTTTTCAGAAAGTTACAGAAATGTCCAATCCAGTGGACTACATGAGCCTGAGCACTCAACATAAAACAGTATGAACTTAATGTAAAAATGAATTAAATTGTGTTTTATGGTAAATACATGAACAATTATTTCATTTTATGCTTTGAAAAACCTAAATAAGAAATGAAATGACATCCACAACTGTGAAGCTTACACCTAAGGCTAGTCTGTATATCTCACATATCACAAATTCCTGAGATAAGAAAAGTGAACTCCATAAAAGCACAGATATGCTAAAATGTCAGCTTTCTGGATTTCTAGAAGCTTATTTCTGACAGAATAAAAATATAAATAATGTAACTGCGACTTTTTATCTCACAATTTTGACTTTGACTACTACGACGGCATTTTAGTGCCACGTTAAAAATAAAAAAATCTAAGATTACGAGATTAATATTTCGTCGTAATATTTTGAGAAAAAAGTCAAAATTACGAGAATAAAGTCGAAATTAAAATAATTAAATCGTAGCAATTACGAGATTAAAGTTAGCCTAGAATATTTTGATAGTAGCCTAGCCTATTGCGCATGCAAATGGCCTGGACTGGGAGAACCGGGAGAAATTCCGGCGGCCTGGCAACTGATTTGAATATATGTGGGATTATTAGCAGCCACCAGTGAGATCCGTAGGGATCGATGACCTGCCTGTCCTAAATCAGGATAAAGGAGGAAGGTTGGGCGTGGGGTTAGCACCCCCACCCTGTAAAAACAAATCTGCTACAGAAACGTTAATTACAGATAAAACAGGAAACTTTGCCTGGGGAGAGGAAGGATCTTCTTCACGAAGACATATGAGGCTGTGTGGTGGAAGCCGAAAGGAAGCCACAAAGCTACCCTTCTCTCTTTCAGGAGAACAAACATTGGCACATGGAATGTCAGGACCATGTACGAGTCAAGAAAGACAGCGCAGGTAGCAGCCATGTTGAGGAACAATAACCTGACCGTGTTAGGCATCAGCGAAGCACGGTGGTCCCAAGCTGGACAGAGACGACTGATGACAGGAGAGCTGTTGCTGTATTCAGGGCATGAAGAGAGCAACGCACCCCACACACAAGAAGTAGGCTTCATGTTGTCCAACCAGGCACAGAGGGCTCTGATTGGATGGGAGGCGCATGGCCCCAGGATCATCACAGCATCTTTCCGTACCAAGAGGAGGAGGATCAAGATGAACATCGTTCAGTGCTACACTCCAACAAATGACAGTGAAGAGGAGGATAAAGATCAGTTCTACAGCAGACTGCAGAAAATCCTCAAGACCTATACAGACAAGGATGTCACCATCCTCATGGGAGATGTCAATGCCAAAATGGGGTCAGACAACACTGGATACGAACAAGTCATGGGCACCCACGCCCTGGGAGTGATGAACGAGAATGGAGAGAGATTTGTGGACCTGTGTGCACTCAACAACTTGGTCATTGGAGGCAGCATCTTCCCCCACAAGTGGATCCACAAAAGTACATGGATATCACCAGACAGCGCAACAGAGCACCAGATCGACCGTGTCTGCATTAACAAGAAATTCAGAAGATCCCTGCAGGATGTCAGAGTGAGAAGAGGAGCAGATGTGACTGAAACTGAAGCTGAAGAGAAACCAGACTGACGCATTAGACAGAAGAGTGAAATACAACATCAGCCTTCTGAAAGACCCCAAAACGAGAGAACAGTTTGGTCTGGCGCTGAAAAACCAGTTCAAAGTGCTTCAGGACCTTTTTGAAGAGGAAGATAGTGTGCTCAACAGGTGGCAGAGTCCTTGACCAAGATAGAAGATAGGAAGAGGAAGAAGGAAACCGTCAACAACAGCAGGACTAGAGTAGCAAAGGCCAAGGCTCAAGAATAATATGCAGAAGCTCACAGAGTAGTGAAGAGGAGTATTAGGAAGGAAAGAATACGTGGACAGACTAGCGACTGAAGCGGAGCAGGCAGCATACAGCGGCAACATGAAACAGCTGTGTGATACCACCAAGCAACTCTCCGGGAAGTTCAGCAAGCCAGAAAAACCCATCAGAGACAAGCAGGGCAACACCATCAACAGCTTAGACCAGATGAAAAGATGGGCTGAACATTTTGAGGAACTCAAACTCCATTCCCAGCACCTCCGAATCCCCCAGACATCGAACCGGCAAACGTGGATCTCCCGATCAACTGTGAGAAGCTGACTAGGGACAAGATCAGGAAGGCCATCACCCTGATGAAGAACGGGAAGGCAGCTGGACCAGACGACATC